ACGGCTCCGCCCCCCCAAGGTCCACGCTGGGGGAGGGGAGACACGAACCATACAGTCACTGCAAAAAAATAAAATAAAATAAAAGTCCCTTTGTCATGTCTTTCGTCTCCTTCGATCCTGGTTCGGGGAGGGGGGGGTCCAAAGTCTTGGGGTCTCTTACTGGCAAGGGGAGGGGCCGGGGGTCCCCCCCAAAATAACTCCTCCTCCCTGGAGTCTCAGGAATAAAAATAGACGCTCTCTGATACATGGGTGGGGGGGCTGGCGAGGGGCAGAGGGGGTGACTGCTCCCCACGCTGCCTGGGAGAGTTGGTATTTCTGGTGGCCATCTTGGTTGTAGGCCGAGGAGGACGGCCATCTTTGACAGTAGGCTGGAGAAGGGGTTGCCGTGGTAGCCATCTTGGTGGTAGGCCGGGCAACGAGTGGCAGTGGCCATCATGACGGTAGGCCAAGGAATGAGTCCCCACGGCGACCATGTTGAATGTGAGAATGACAAGAGCCCACTGGCAGCCATCTTTGATGGTAGACCAAGGATGGCCCGCAGGGGGCTGGACTGGCTTTTAAGAAGCTCGTGGGGCCCACGGCTGGCCAGAAACACAGCACCGGCAGCCAGGTTGGATTTAGGAAAAGGAAGTCTCTCATAGGCGGCCATCTTGGAATTCAGAACACTGGCCGGCATCCACCATCTTGGATTTGAGAAACACAGTCCTTGTCTCTGATCGCAGCGTACCAGCGGCCCATCTCCAGGCGGCCATTTTGGATTTCACCGCCCAGGGGGAACCATCTTGGATTTTAGCGTCCAGGCGGCCATCTTGGAATGCACCGCCCGGGTGGCCATCTTGGATTTTGGCACACTGGCAACCAACTTGCATTTCACTGCCGTGGGAGCCATCTTGGATTTCAGCCCACTGGGCAGCCATCTTGGAATTCACCACACTGGCGGCCCTCTGGGGTGGGGGCCCCATTGGTGGCCATTTTCGATTTCACCACACTGGTGGCCCTCTGGAGTTGGACCCCCTTGGTGGCCAACTTCAATTTCACCACACTGGCGGCCCTCTGGGGTGGGGGCCCCATTGGTGGCCCTCTTGGATTTCACCGCCCAGATGGCCATCTTGGATTTCACCACCCAGGCGGCCATCTTGGATTTCCAAACCGAACGAGTGCCGTGACAGGACAGCTGGGCGCGGAAAGGGGGGGCAATGAGCATCGTTTGGCACCAGCACCAGCATAAGGCCTCTGCTGAAAAAAGACCCCCCCCCGACCACCCCAAAGTTGCTGAGTTTGGCACAAACTGGATTGAACAAACGCAGTCCCCGCCGGAGACATCTTAACCCCCAGGCCAACGGGAAGCAAAGACAGAGATTTCCAGCATGGCTTTTGTTTGCAAGGAGACCGGCCGCCCGTTCGTTGTCCCCCTCCCTGCGTTGGCACAGTGGAGAAAAAAACACACACCGGTGCCCGAGAGCGGGAGAGAGAGCAACAGAGGCTGGGGAGGCAATAAACACTGTGCTTCGTATACAGAGGCGTTTGCTTCCCCGTCTGCTCTTGGGCTATCTCCGGTTGGCGCCGTGGGCCTCTGCCAGGGAGGAGAGGGACGGGAAGGGGTGCTCGGAGGCAGACGTCAGTGGGGGCGAGGGGGTGAACCGGGTCCACGCCTCGATCTTGCAGCCCGGCATGGGACGTGGAGAGAGGGGGAGACCCGGAAGTGTGAAAGAAAGATGTGTATGGGTGTGGGGGGGGTGTACCTAGATAGATATGGTAATGGATACATATTCATGGAAAGGGCTGGCTACCTGGATAGATAGATAGATTTAGGAATGGGTGGATGGATAGACAGAGGGGGTGTATGGGGATAGATAGATAGATAGATAGAGAGAGGGCGTGGATGGGGATAGACAGATAGAGGGTGTGGATAGGGATAGATAGATAGATAGAGGGGGTGGACGGGGATAGATAGATAGATGTAGGAATGGGTGGATGGATAGACAGAGGGAGCGTATGGGGATAGATAGATAGATAGAGGGGGTGGATGGGGACAGATAGATAGATGAGAAGAACATAACGGCCGAACTGGGTCAGACCAAAGGTCCATCTAGCCCAGTCTCCTGTCTGCCGACAGTGGCCAGTGCCAGGTGCCCCAGAGGGAATGAACAGAGCAGGGAATCATCAAGTGACCCATCCCCTGTCGCCCATTCCCAGCTTCTGGCAAACAGAGGCTACGGACACCATCCCCGCCCAGCCTGGCTAATAGCCACTGATGGACCCGTCCTCCATGAACTTCTCCAGTTCTTTTTTGACCCCTGTTATTGTCTTGGCCTTCACAACATCAACATCCTCAAGGCACAGGTTGACTGTGCGTTGGGTGAAGAAATCCGTCCTTTTGTTTGTTTTCAACCTGCTGCCTAGTCTTTTCATTGGGTGACCCCTAGTTCAATTTCTTCCAAAACCTCCTCTAATGACACCTCAATCTGGGACAGTTCCTCAGATCTGTCAGCTAAACAGAAGGGCTCAGGTTTGGGAATCTCCCTCACGTCCTCAGCCGTGAAGACCGATGCAAAGAGTTAATTTAGTTTCTCCGCAATGGCCTTATCGTCTTTGAGTGCTCCTTTAGCACCTCGATCGCCCAGTGGCCCCACTGGTTGTTTAGCAGGCTTCCTGCTTCCGATGTACTTAAAAAAAAATTGCTATTATTTTTTGAGTCTTTGGCTAACTGTTCCTCAAATTGTTTTTTGGCCTTCCTTGTATTTTTACACTTCATTTGCCAGTGTTTATGCTCCTTTCTCTTTCCCTCACTAGGGTTTAACTTCCACTTTTTGAAGGAGCCTTTTTGCCTCTCACGACTTCTTTTACTTTGTTGTTTAGCTATGGTGGCTCTTTTTTGGTTCTCGTACTATGTTTTTGAATTTGGGGCATATACTTAAGTTGAGCCTCTGTTATGGTGATAGATAGATAGATAGATAGATGGGGTGGATGGGGATAGATAGATAGAGGGTGTGTGTGGGGATGGATAGTTAGATAGATAGATAGGGGATGGATGGGGATAGAGAGAGAGAGAGAGATAGGGGTGGATGGGTATATATATATATATATATATATATAGCGAGTGAGAGAGAGAGGGTGTGTGTGGGGATAGATAGATAGATAGATAGATGGGGGGTGGATGGGGATAGATAGAGAGAGAGAGAAGGGGGTGGATGGGGATAGATAGATAGATAGATAGATAGATAGATAGATAGATAGATAGATAGATAGATAGATAGATAGATAGATAG